CGTGGACATGTGACGAGGTCACAGTGAGGATGCACATCACTGCTGAGGGCGGATTGTAAAGCGTCATAGGTGAAGAGAGTTTCTACTCTAGAGAGTGTTGATGTGCTCAGAAATCAGCACGGTATTCTCCCGTTTATATTTTTGGTGTAGAGGCTGAAATTGTTGCTGGTAGCTGTGGAGACAAATGACCAGCACAAAGGTCAGGAGGTCACCTGGGAGGTCACATTAGAATTCCTGTCCAGATGATCATGCTTGTTATCACAGTGTTCGTTTCTGAGATGAAGAAGATGGTGACTCCAGAGGAAAGGTCACGGGGTCACAGAAATCTTTAAACCCTCGAAATCAAGTTTGGGGTGGATCTGCTCATCAGGCGTCAGGACGTCTCACTCTGGATCAGACGCCAGAAACACAAAGTTTCTCCCACGTTGGGTTGTCGCGCTGTGACACGCCCCGCCCGCCCGTCTGCGGCTCCCAGTGGGATGAAACAAATGTAGAGAATTATAATTTGTAAAAACACTTCTCCCCGGGCCTGTTTTCAAATAATCGCTGCTATTTTTAATGCTGCTGTTGATGTTTGTGAGCCCTGCAGCTACGCGGCGGCGGCGGCAGGAGAGGCTGAGTGTCGGTGAGCTGCTGTATTCTCACCAGCAATTATTCACCAGTCATCCTGCATCTCTCCTTCATTCTTTCTCTCCCTTTAATCTCCGTCTCCCACCTCTCCCTCCTTCTCCCTCGCTTCATGTCTCTTTTTGTTTCCCTCTCCCACTCTCTTCTCCTACTCTCGCTGCTCGTCTTCTTCATTTGCCTCTCAGCTCTCATTTCCTCTACTCCCCCCCCCCATTCTTTCACTTTCTCGCGCTTTGTCTGACACTTCCTTCCTTCATTCTTTCCTCCTCCGTTCTTGGCTCCTACTTTCTCCTCTTCTCATCTCACACTTCTCCCACTCACCCATCCTTCCATCTCCACCTCTTTCTTTACTCCCTCCTTCCCCGTCTTCACCACTCACATCATCCATCCCTCTCTTCCATACCTGCTTCTTTCCGTTCTTGCACACTAATATTCCCCTCTTTTTTCTGACTATGCTCTAAAAAATTATTCATGGGGTTTGTGTATAATTCTTAAAATAAGAGTTTTTCAGCATTTAAATAATTACATTTGTTTCATCAACATGTTTTAGTCCATCAGCTTATTTTAAGAAGTTGGTTAAAATCAAAACATTTTTGAGTAGGATGGACTTAAAATAGATAAGTTAAATTATCTTAAATAAAATAGTTTGAGCTCTAAATATCAACACAAGTTTTGGATAAATATTAAGTTGGTTCAATTTGATTAAGCTTTTTGAGGTCAAAGCAAATCATGTTGGTTAAACTAAACTATCTGAGTTTGTCAGATTAGTTTAGTTAATTTCAGTCATTTTCCAACTTATAAAACTCAAATACACGGGTAGATAGACAATAAATAAACATATAGTTAATGCTTTTTTTTAGTTAGTGGATAACTCTTAAAATAAATATGTTATTCGGCATAAAAAAACGACGTATCTTTCATTAATGTGTTTCAGTTAGTTATTAGTTATATCAACTTATTTTAAGAAGTTGGTTGAAATTAAAACATTTCTGAGTGGGATGGAATTGAAATAAATAAGTTAGAATATCTTAAATAAAATATCGTAAATAAAATATTTTGACCGCTAAATATCAACACAACATTTAGATAAATATTAAGTTGGTTCAACTCAGTAAAATTTTTCAAGGTCAAGCAAATAGTGTTGATTGTACCAAACTGAGTTTGTCAGATTAGTTTAGTAAATTTCAGTCATTTTCCAACTTATAAAACTCAAACTGGAACCACTTAAAAAAATCCATGCAAACTGTGCAGATTACATGCTTTAATTTTTTAAAGTTGAACCTGAAGAAGGGCACCTGTGGCCTGAAACGTCACTCCAGGATGGTGGAATAAATGCACCTAACGGGAGCTGAAGTGTGCAGACTTTTCTTTGTCTTAAAGTTGAACCTGTGAATTATCTTTTAGAGTGCACTCTAAAAATGATTCAGTGGATAATTCTTAAAATGAATACATTTATCAGCATAAAAAAAAATGACGTAGGTTTCATGAACATGTTTCTGTTAGTTTACAACTTATTTTAAGAAGTTGGTGAAAATGAAAAACATTTTTGACACATTTTAATAGGATGGACTGAAATAAATACATTAGAATATCTGAAATAAAATAGTTTGACCACTAAATATCAACATAACCTTTGGATAAGTATGTTGGATGTACTGAACTAATTTAGTTTGTCAGATTGTCAGATTATGAAAGAGTTGGAATGACTTAAAAACAGTGTTGGGCAGTAAAGTGTTATAGTAATCAGATTACTTACAAGTAGTGTAATTAATCATAATTTGGTTTTCCAAATTTTCATTCCTCCCACTTCCCCAAATCCGTCCTTTGTCTAACATGTTTCTATTCTTTCTCCACTTTCTTTCACCTTCCTCCATCTTCTTCTCTCCTCCTGTCTCCACCTCCCTCCTCTCTGTTCCTCTTCTTCTTCTCTGCTCTCTTGTCCGACCCTGTTTCCTGTCCGTGTGCGCCTCAGGAGCTGGTACATGGTGTAAACAGCTGATTAGGTTTCTGCCCTTTGATTCCAACTCTTTGACTAAATCCATCCTGATCAGTGTGACAGCAGCTCAGGAGCAGTCGGCTGATAATGAGCTTCTTATTTCTCCATTTCTTCTCCTCCCTCACATTATGATGATGCTGTTTATGAACAGACACCCCCCACGCCCCTCCACACCCCCCACGCCCCTCGAGTCTAATCTCGACTACGCGAAGACTGTTTGCAGACTTTACATTCGTCTACCCATTTTCAGGTCATCTAGTCTTTATTGCTTTCACCCAACAGTCTGATATAATTATCTCTGCTCAGCTTTGATTCACTGGGTTTTTCAGCAGAGCTGTCAGGGGCAATAACGTCTGTAAAAAATTTCCCCCGTCGTTTTTCAAATTTGCTGAACAAAGGTTACACGTTGAGATGTAATTCTCAGAAATGCTGCATTTGTGTTTTCTTGTTGCCGACGTTTTTCTCTCTCACGTCTTGCTGACAGCTTCAGACACATTATCACAATTAGCCAACATTTCTCAGAGGAGTTGTTCCGATCTCTCCGCCCCCGCCTCGTCCTATACACCGAGCTGTCAGAGTCTGACTTATGATGATGTTCTCCCTCTCAGCACTCGTTACCATGAAGGCTTTCACTCACAGTTAATCTGCAGTCTGTCCGTATTGGGAAGGAAAACCTGTTTGCTGATGTGTAGGCGATCCTCCAAAACAAGAACAGGTGTCTTGTAAAATGACAGATCTCATCAGGATGTTTCTACAGAACAAAGTGGCCGTAAAGTGTCTGCAGGTCTAATTAATGTGTGAGGAAACAATGTCTGGATTTCATATCTCACTGTTTCTGAGAATTAACGTAATCCCGCCATAAGGCCCATTTAGTAGCTATTCTGGAACTTTCAATCATATTGCATGATCTTCCTCAGCAGATGGAGTTTGTCCGGTTATCATTAAAATGTTAGCACTCAATTCGAAGGGTTTCTACTCCATGTTGGCTGAAGGGGAGGGAGCACCCTGAGGTCAGTAGGGTCAAACTTTAAACTAATAGAGATCACCATGAAACTTCATCTTGTATTACAAGTTTCTGGAAATAATATGTTGTTTTTGTCAACTATAATGTTTTGAATTTTTGTTGACTAAAATGTTTTGGATTTTTATTGACTAAAATATTTTGAATTTTCTTCGACTAAACTGTTTTGAATTTTTTTTTTCCACTAAAATGTTGAGATTTTTTTTTTTTCGCCTAAAATGTTCTATATTTTTGTTAACTAAAATATTTTGATTTTTTTTTTTTTTTTGACTAAAATGTTTTGAATTTTTGTCAACTAACATGTTTTGGATTTTTATCGACTAAAATATTTTGAATTTTTTTTTCGACTAAAATGTTTTGAATTTTTTAGGACTAAAATGTTTTGAATTTTTTTTTTTGATTAAAATGTTTTGAATTTTTATCAACTAAAATATTTTGATTTTGTTTTTCAAAAAAAAAGTTTTGAATTTTTTCAAAAAAAAAGTTTTGAATTTTTTTTGACTAAAATGTTTTATATTTTTATCGACTAAAATTTATTATTATAAATTGGAATAGTTTTTTTTTTTTTTCTTTTTTCTTATAAATGATGTTTGATGGGTAGCTTAATTTAGGATTTATGTAGGGTAGGCAAATATAAGCATTATGCTTCAGCCTACACCTTTTCAGTCATTACCATCATATATTAATTAGCATTTTTTGTGTGTTACCTAGAATGTTTATATTTATGATTATTATTGTAGTTGTTGCTGTGAAAATGTGTGTATGTTCCTATGTTGTATGTGATGATGATGACTGAATAAAACATACAAAACAAAAACAAAAAAACCCAAAATATTTTGATTTTTTCGACTAAAATGTTTTGAATTTTTTTTGGCTAAAATGTTTTGAATTTTTATCGACTAAAATATCTAAAATTTTCGTTGACTAAAACTATGAAGGACAAAAATAACTAAAATGTAACTAAAGCTAATAACCATTTTCATCTAAAGACAATGATCTAAAATAGCTGTCAATGTAACACTTGTATCATACTTATAAATCTAAATGTAGCCACACTTAACTTTTATTTTCGGTATTTAAAAATGAAACTTCACAGTCAGTTAACACCACTGTCGTTGTTTAATATTTTTATAATGACTTTTTTGTTTTTATGTTATCTGTAATGTCAATAAAGATTTAATGAAAAAAGCTCCGCATCGAGCCGGTCATTAACCCCGCCCACTTTTTAGCGGTCCAATCAGAGTTGAGGATTTGATTCAAATTCCTCCAGTAACCGTTCACTGCTCAAGTTACCTGGGAGATCAACACGTCATCACAGTACGGAGTCGCTGTGACGTCTCTTTGGGACTTTACTGTAAAATCACCTCTAAACGTCACCGGATGTGGAAAATCTCGGTTTTATCCACGAACACATCAGGATGCTAAAAGCTAACGCTAAGCTAACGGGACGGATGACGTAAGTAGCTTCATATGCGTTAGCAGCAAAGTTAGCATCTTTACATTATATCACATTAATAGTTACAATGTTTACTGTTTACCGTTTAATGAGTTATTACCTATTACAGACACCGCTAACGGCTAACAGCTAACGGTTAGCCCAGCTAAACGTGCACACAGAAATAGTAATGTTTGTTCAATCATTGTGTTTATAGACTTTACAAACATCGGATTAGTCTAAATGGTGATACAGTGATGTGAAAAATGTGATACGTAGGCTATATATATATATAGCTAAAAGCTCTGCTGGTTTTCTACCCGGACTACTTGTTTACAAGGCGATTCCCTCTATAGTCCGGCCGGACGGATGAGTCATGGCCTTGTAAAAGATTATGTTTGTTTCTTTTAGTTGGCGAGAATGTGTCGCCGCAAACACGACAAACATCCACTAACTTTGACGGCGTTTTCTGCGAGCATGGCTGAGCCATTTTGTACCGCTACACGTGTTTCTAGTGGGACTGTGTTTACAAGCACAAGAGTTCAGCGAGCCACCGAAGGAACACCCTGCAGATTTACTATTGGTTCTGCAACGTAAGGAGTTTTTTTAAACTCTGAAATTGTATCCGCCCATCTAAACACAAAATCAGGGAGAAAGTCATCAGTCTTTAGTTAAGCAAAGCATCTAAAGACTGACTTGTGAGTCTAGCTGTAGTGAGGACTCATAGTGTGCTATAACAGTTTATGCAGAATCACAAGTTCTCACTGAATGTGTTAAGTGAAGAACACATTGATGCATCTGTAACAGGGATACTCAACATGCACTGCCTGAGGCCACTTTTGCAAAATGACAGGAGGTCAGAGGTCAGTCAGCAGCTCTGTGCATGTACATGGGGGTATTTCTGGGATTTTAGGACATTTAGAGCTGAGCCCAGACGTCTGTCAGCTGATCCTCCTTTTGATAAACAAGCTGTATTATGTTTCTGTGCTACAGTGACAGTTTTTACAGTGCAGTTATTTATCTGTGCAATATTCTTTAGTGTATGAATTTATTCTCATTTTATTCATTCAACATAAAATGCACATAATTGTACATATTTCTTATGTATAGTCTTGTTTTTATTCCATTGCTGTATATATTGTAGTGAACGTTACAGCATGATACATGTTTTATTTTTCTGAATGTAACACTAGTTTATAAAGTGTAACGTAACACATGTTAGTGTATTTTACACACTTACAGACTCAGCACAGGGAAGATATTCTTATGGTCAAGTTCTAGTGTTAAACATTGTGGCATAATGCACATTTTTATTTCTATTGTATTTTATTACTTTACATTTGCATACCTCTGTTTCATACTCTTTTTCCTACTTCTTTTATTATTTATATTAGAGCGACTTTGATGAATCACAGTTTTCCCTCTGGGATCAATAAATAATTTCTGATTCTGATTACTTTAGTCGTTGTCCGAGCGGTTTCCTCAGGCAGTGTAAAGGCAGCTTAATGTATATTGAAAAAATCCCAATGTGAATCAATTGATTGTCCCTGTGAATCAGAGAAAGTGTTTTGGGGGCCACCTGCCACCTGATTGGGGCCAGATTTGGCTCCTGGTCCGTAAGATGAGTATCACTGGTCTGTAAAAGGAAATGAAGTAAACAGAAACTGCTGCACCCTTTAAAATCCCCAGTAAGTTTGCTGTATGCTATAGCTAGCTGACTGTGCACTGTAGGAGCTAATTGTAAGCTAATGTCAGCTGCTAGAATGTTTGCTATTAGCCTACAAGCTACCTGTATGTTTCAGCTGAAGATTGCTAACTAACGTACACTTGGCTTTAAGGCTTATAGCAGATATTCTAATAGCTAACATTAGCTTACATGTAGCCTGTTTGCAAAGGGCACAGTGGTTAGCTAGCGAGCTAATGCATGTAACATACTCACTGTGGATTTGAAGGTGAGATTGAAACTATATTGTGAGCAGTAAAAGGTTAATACAGACTCCACGTTCTTTACCATTTTGAGTTGTCTTCCAACAAAGGTTGTTTAATTTCTGATCCTCCCTGAGAGACTGGAGGAAAATCCATGACCCTCCCTCCACCATAAATTAATTATCAGATTTTTAAATGTACCCTTTGATGTTTGAAAGTTAGAAGACTGACTTTCAGAAATTTGTAAATCCAATGTTGTTCCAGTTTCTGGCTGATTAATGGTGTCATTTTGGTGATTTCTAAGGGCATGTTTTCATTAAAAATCTGCAGTAAAATAAATAAAAAATACAACCATTTAATTTTGTATGCCCCTCCCCTAAACCAAATTAAAAAAACATAATCCCATCTCCAGTGCTTAAAACATTGACATGCCTCCACCTTTTGCACCACCTCTCCTCCCTCATAAATAACAAACAGTCCCTAAGTAAAGCCTCCCATTTACTACTTTAATCACCTTTAAAAAATGTATTTCTAAGATCATCGTCCTAATAAATTCATACCACAGTGTTTTATTTAACACCACTGTCAGTGGTAATTCTGACCCTGCTTTTGGTTTGATATTGGCCTTTAATTAAAAATCTTAACCTAATCATCTGCTTTATTGTTGCAGAAGTAAAAGTTCCCTGCAGACTGCCGCAGCCTGTAAAAATGTTATTAGTATTTTTCTTTTCCAGAATGCTGCTCAGAGAAATTAGCCCATTGTGGTGTCTGGATAATTAACGAAGTGAGCTGCAGGGTGGCTGACCCTGGAACATACAGAGGAACCAGCTTTGAAGGAACTGTGAATAAACTTCTGTTAAATTTTCATATTTCATCCTCCATGTTGGTTTAATGGTGTCAGTGTTTGAATGATCACAGAAAATCCATCAAATACTCAGTAATACAACCCTCAGTGTGAGCTGATAGAAGGCTCTAGTTTTCCTTTGTAAAGGGTAACTGTGGTGTTTATTAACCCCGACCTTATTTCCCCATGTTTGTGTCTAGTTGACATTATGGGAACAACAGTTTCCTGAAAATGTCCAGTACTGAGCACAAGTGCTGCATCTTCCGGCGATGAAACAGGCTGCAGTGTTAATGCTGAGGGCGTCAGTGTCCGTCCACTAACAGTGTTTGTTTTGTCACTGACAGGCTCAGATTGTTATTGTATGTGTGTGACAACATTATGAAAGGATCCCTACAGAGATAGAGCTTTATGTTAAAGAGTCAGATCATTTTTGTTTAACCAGAAACAGCCCTGAAATCACCGTCACCAAACCCACCAGACTGCATTTAAATAAATACTCATTTTATCATCATTAAACATCTTTACACTGTTCCAACAATCACCAGCTCTGGTTTGGTTTAAATTAACCCTTAATTCACCAGTTAGATGTGACAACATGCTGCCTCTATACACACTAACATGACTGTTTATTTAAATGTAGTCTGGTGGGTTTGGTGACGGTGATTTCAGGGCTGTTTCTGGTTTAAGAAAAAGGATCTTACTCTTTAACACAAAGCTCTATCTCTGTAGGGATCCTTTCATCATGTTGTCAGACACTTAGAATAACAGTCTGAGCCTGTCAGTGACAAAACAAACACTGTTAGTGGACGGACATTGTCGAACACGCCCTGAGTGGTCACACTGCAGCCTGTTTAGCTCAACACTGGACCAGTTTCAAAAACTGTTATTCCCATTACTCACTTCTAACCCTTTTCTACCAGCATGAATCAGGTTCCATTCTGGTGCCTGCACCTATTTTTGAACCATTCTGAGCATTTCAACCAAAAATAAATAGGTTCAGAACCTGGAAAGTTGGTTCCCAAAAAAATAGCAGGTTTTCCTTGACTTGAAGATAAGTGGGCGTGTCATATTCTACAGGATAGAAAGAGATAATGGAGACTTGCACGTAAAAGTATTTTGCTGTCATCATTATTAGGAAGTCAGTGCTTGCTTTTTGGAATAAAAAAAATATCTGCAATACCAAAAAAAAAAGGCTCAGTTCATCAATGCAATCCGCCATCTTGCTTCCACTGTGCATCAACCTCTGTTTAAGACACAGCCTTGATCACAGTGGTTCTCCTCTAAACCAGACCTGATTTGGTTGATACAGAAACACTGAAAAATGGGGTCCAGGTTGAAACTACCAAACCTTCTCGTTAATATCAGCTAACATGAGCTCTGTTTGTCTGTGTTTTCTTCTTAAATTTTAAGGAATAGACTGAACTGTGCAGACAGGACGTAATCTCTCAGATTAATGCCAGTGTGGCAGGAGGAGGTAATAATGCATGAGATGTTTGATTGGTCAGTACAGTTAATAGCTTTCAGATTTGCTGTTGTAATATCTAGATGAAGTTTCTCACACTGCAGCGCAGGCCCCAACCTCTTCCTCCTTTGTAACATTGGAAATTTTCAGTGCTGTTTCACTCACTGCTGGAGTGTGACCTGTTCTTGTTGTGTGTCATATATTCATATTGTCATGTCACTGTTTTGTTGGTGAGGCTGGATGTTTCTTTTGTAGCCTTTTTTCTTCCCTACCAAGAAAACCATTCTGACAGAAACCCTTCCTCTTTGTCGTTTCCTGGTGGTCATTTCAGCAGCCAGCGCCGGCTCCCTGAGCCGCACAGATGATGTCGCTGCCTGTTCTTCCACACTGGCTTCACTCCAAAGAATGAGAAGAAGGAGAAAAGCCTGAACCACAGACATGGATGATAATAAGGTGAGCAAACACAACACAAAGAGCTGTGGAGTCAGAGTGAAACAGATTGTGTGTCTCGAGGCCAGCAGCAAGCTGCTCCGCATCAGTCATCGTCTTGTTTGTTTGGATAATGATATTTTTACCTTGAACTTAATGTGGTAAAAGGTGGAGGAGGCCCTAATGAACACTGCACAGGTACAATTAAGTTTACTGCTGAGCTGTGCTGCTCAGATGGGACGGAAATTTCAGCAAGCAGTTTCTACAGCAACTTTCATTTCATTTAAAGTGAGGAAACATTTACTTCTGTTATAAAGGCCCAGTCATAGAATTGTGTTTGTCCCTGTTATATGGCGGCTGATCTCATCCTCTGCTCGGAGGGTAAGGAGCTCCTGGACCTCTTTGTTTTCACTGTTTGTGGACATTAACAGCTGCTGTTCTTCTTATTGAGCTAACTGCTAACTGCTACAACGCAACAATCTTACTTGGCGAGACATTTCTGTCCCTCCATTTCTTGATTTTACCTTATACACAGCACAGCGTGGTGGCTTAACAGCACAATATTCCTTGAACAAGCAGTGTGAATGGTGCTGATGTGTCAGCCCTGCGATAGTCTGGTGACCTGTCCAGGGAAGGGTTGCAACAGATTTTCATGGTACGAAAACCATCTCAGGAAATATTGTGGTTTCATGGTATTACAGACGTAATATTATTATCAGTCAGAATGATCCTTAAAGGGATGAAAACAGAAGGGTTATGGTTGGTTGAAGTGCAGATTGTAGGGGTGGGAATCGCCAGAGGACCAACAATATCATATGATATTAAATGTTGTGATATGCTGAGTATTGATATAAAAATATGTTTGAGTTTATTAGATTTTTTCCAACTGCAAATTATTTCACCAAAGGAAACTTTGTCAACATCAGTTTAACCTCTTAAGATAAAGTTTTCAGTCTGTTCATCCGACTTCAATCACTGACTGAGACCTCTGCTGATCTCACCAGGAAATAAACACTTTATTTAAATGTTTGACGTCTGTATGTTGTATAGAAATATATTTTCTGCAGCCTGTATATGTGATTTCTATCTGCAGGGACAGATGAGCAGACAGAATATGACAGCAGAGATCACCGTGTACATGACTGTAGCTGTTGCTCAGACATTTCCATGGCAACAAGTGAAACTGAGTTTAGGCCTGTGTATCATCAGCTTGCAGTTTCTGCCCTCACAGACTTTACGTGATGACAGTGAACACGTCACAGTATGACTGAAGTCCAAGAGGGCTCAGTCCACAGGCCCAGAGTGTGGACGTGTGATTCAGCCTCTCACTTCAGTATGTATGAAGCAGAGTTCCCTCTGCGCTGCTGAAACTTGATGAATCTTTAATTGCTGCAGTGAAGAGTTTAAAAATGTTAGAGATCAGGAGAGATTCAGAAACCCTGTTCTGGATGTTTAAAAGTTTCAGATCTGAAGCCCAGCTTCCTGTTGGTGGTCAGATTTGAGCCTTTAATCAGCCCACAGCAGCAGCAGCTACAGTATGTGGGACAGCAGGAGGTCTGTCCCACTTAGCCATTGACCCAAAACATGGAGACTGGCATCAATTACAGCTACCATATGCAAAGCACAGGTGGCACAGCGGCAGCTGGAGTCACACTTTGTCAGAGGATGAGTGCCTGAGAGTTTCTGTTCAGCCACAACAAGCAGGAGGGCGAGACGACGATGACGCAGTAAGTTTACAGTAAGGCAGGTTACTGTCAGGGACTGCTTATGACTCCATGTTGGTTATAGTCGTTCGTCAGAGGCATTACGTTTTTGGGTTGTCCGTCTGTCCGTCCTATTCCTGTAAATGATATTTCTTCGTACAAATTTGGCACAAACATTCACATTAACTCAAAAATAATCTGATCAGATTTTGGTGGTCAAAAGTCAAGGTCACTGTCACCTTGGATCCATCTCATTCTTATGAATACGATATCTCAAGAAAGCCTTGAGGGAATTTCTTCAAATGTGGCACAAACATCCTTTCAGAATCAGTGCTGAAGAGATTAGACTTTGTGGTCAAAGTTTACTGTGACCTTGTCTGTCTCATTCTTGTGAAGGTGATAGGTCAAGGACAACTTAAGGGGAAATTATTTTTACAAATTTGGCACAAATGTTCACTTGGACTCAAGAGTGAAGTGATTGGATTTTTCGTTGTCAAAGTTACTGTGACTAGATTTTTACGGTCAAAAATCAGTGTTAGTGTGTTCTTGCATCAGTCTCATTCTTGTAAACACGATATCTTAAGAACACCTTGAGGGAATTTGTTTAAATTTGACACCAGAGCATGTGAGTGGAGCGGACCGGGTGAAAATTTCCGCTTCTCGCTCGCAGACCTGTTACTTTGCGCTGCTCGTGCGCTTCGCTTGGTTCTGCGCATTCTTCGCTCCGCTCCGGCCCACTCCATCATAAATTTTATCCCGCTCCACTCACTCACCACTCCACTCAAAAAAACTGCGTCATACTACCCTAACCTGTAATCTTCTATTCACAAATAAAACATGAGCTTGGTAGATTCTCCGGGGAAGCCCTCTCCCCGCAGTTAGGGACCATTCTCCACGGTACCGCTGTCGGCAGGGTGGAAATAAGTCAAAGTGTAGAGGAGACGGACCAGGTTAAGAGGCCGACCTCCAGGGAAGCCCTCTCGCCTCTCCCCACAGTTAGGGACTGTTCTCCAAGGTACCGCTGCTTCTCTTCTCAGTTTCTTTTCTGAAGTACACAGTAAACTCCATAGTTATGAAAGAAAACAGTGTGGGTGTGCGCAGGTGCAAAGATGTATTCTGGGTGGGGCATGAGCGACTGGAGCGAAATTGGAGCGAGAGATAAGGCTCCGCTCCACCTGTGAGGCAGATTGTGATTTGTGATATTGGGCTTTATAAATAAAATTGATTGAATTGCTTTAAAAAAAAAATAGCCGTTCCTCACTCAACACAAAATCCTTCCACTCCGCTCACATGCTCTGTCTGACACAAACTTCTACCCTGGAAATCCAGAGTTCTCGCGAGAGCACAATTTGCATTTGCTCAGTGAGTCACTCTGGCAATCAGTAATGATGCTCATTACCTATGCTCATGAAACCGAGCTGCACCAATCACATCGGTGTATCTGATATAGGCGGGCCAGAAGCGAGCTAAACAGATGACGATAGCGCTGCGATGACGAAGTCCAGAATCAGTCAGTAAACATTGCAAGATGGCTACGGATGAACACCAGTTGTTTGAAACGGCTTTGGCCGCTACAATGAATGAGTTAGACTTGGCTTCTTCTCTAAAAGAGGAACAGAAGACGGTGCTCGAATCTTTCCTTTGCAAGAAGGACGTTTTTGCTGTTTTGCCGACCGGATACGACAAGAGTCTAATCTACCAGTTAGCTCCGCTGGTAGCTAAGCATATACGTCACCCCGTGTATTGTTCTGATTGGTCGTAGTGTTATCCAGTTGTGTGCAGTGATATTTACAAATGCATGCTTGGTGCCACCCCTCGAGTTGGGCCATTTTCATTACTCATGGCCAGACCCTAAATCTTTCTAGATTTGGGTCTGGATTTCCAGGCTAACAAACATATCTATTAACCCAATAATAAACTGATTAGATTTTGCTGGTTAAAGGTCACTTGGCCTTCTCATTTTTGTGAATGTGATATCTCAAGAACACCTTTAGGGAATTTCTTTAAATATAGCACAGCGGTCTACTTGGAGTCGATGATCAAGGGATTCAATTTTTTGTTGTCATAGGTTAAGGTCACTATGACCTTGTGTTTGTCTCACTCTTGTGAATGTAATGTCTCAAGAATGCCTTGAGGGAATTTCTTCACATTTGGCACAAACATTTACTTGGAATCAGTGATGCAGTAATCTCTCAAGACAGATTCTGCGTGGTCGAGACGTTCAGGTGTCCCCAGGAAATGTGTACCTACAGAAACAGCAAGCTCCGCGCCCATGGCGACCGCTCCACCCAAAACGCCATCTTGTCAGCGTGAATTTTTTTTTTTTTTCCCAGCGGATGTCAGATGACGTCCTGATGTTGGCTTTGCTGCTGCTGTTAGCTGTCCCTGTCAGCTGCAGCCACTGATGCTTTCTAGACATCGTGATTTCACAAAACTGAATAAATACCACACATAGCAACACAAAACTGCTTTGCTAGCTCAATCATGTTGTAACTAAGATATCCGCTGGAAAAAATATTTTATTCATGGACCGTTCATTGAGTTATTAATGTTACCTTATTTTTATACAGTCTATGGTTATTACAGACACCGCTAATGGCTAACGTTAACAGCTAACGGTTAGCCCAACTAATCTACAATAACCATATTAATTACGTGCACACAGAAATAGTAACGTTTGTTCAGTCATTGTGTTTATAGACTTGACAAACATCAGATTAGTCTACACGGTGATATAGTGTCGTGAAAAATGTGATATATAGCTAAACTCTGCTGGTTTTCTACCCAAAGTATTTGTAAACAACACGGCGATTCCCTGGGGGCACCGCTGGAAGTGAAGGGCGTGAGCGATCGCTGAGGCCCCTGCACTTCCGTTAGTCGAAAAACTCCGGGCTGTGAGGTAAAGGACGAAAAACAAAGGGTTTTTTGTTTTTGTTTTTTTTTTTAACCGATGGATTTCCAGATTGGTGATGCAGTGATAAGATTTTGGCGGTTAAAGGTCACTGTGACCTTGTCTGTTTCATTCTTGTGAACATTATATTTCAAGAAGTACTTGCAAGCGTTCACTTGGACTAAACAATGAACTGATTAATTTTTTGCTGTCAGAGGTCAAAGTCATTGTGACCTTGTGTCTGTCTTATGATTGTGAATGTGATATCTCAGGAAGGCCTTGAGGGAGTTTCCTTAAATTTGGCACAAACGTTCTCTTAGTTTGATAAGAATTTGGTGGTCAAAGGTCACTGTGAGCTTGTTGGGTCTCTTTGTGTGAACGTGATATCTCAAGAACACTTTCTCTTCAGAGCAGACAAACATCTACTTGGAATCTGTGATGAAGTGATTTGATTTTTTTGTTGTCAAAGGTCAAAGTCGCTGTGACCTTGTTTCTGTCTCATTCTTTTGAACGTAGGCCTTGATATAGTTTCCTCAAGTTTGGCACAAACGTGGACTGAAGAGTAAAGTGATTAGAAGTTTGTGGTCAAAGTTCAAAGTGACTGTGACCTCACAAAACATACCATAACTCAAAAATTCCCATGCTAATTATGACAAAACTTCAAGTGAAGTGATGACATTTTATGTCCCAAAGGTCAAAGGTCAGCTTGACTGTGACATCATCATGTTTTAACGTCATATCTCAGGAACAGAAGGGGAGACATTTGGTCAGATACTGAATTGGTGACTCTAATCTTGAAACTGTGCTGATTGTATAGACGAATTCGGCAAGCGATTTGTGTATGCCGCCATCTTGCGGTGGCGCCATTGCTGCGGTGACGTGTGTCAGTCATCAATTCATTATGCTGTCATTGTGAACTGACTCTCTACAATGACAGCATCATGAATAGCTGAATTGATGATGTTAGACGGTGGCCTCCAGTAACTGATGAAGGTATCTTAAATGAGTACCGATATTAATATAGAAATTAATCATTTGTTTGAGCCATAAGCAGGAAAGATTAGAGTAATAAGGAGATAATAGACTGTATCATTAAACACTGCGTAATATAACGTTAGCATACGTTACGTGTGCTGACGTTAGCAAGCTAGCAGCGTGACATTTAATCATTATGGACAGGCTACGTGACCACATCATATTGAAGGCGATTGCCTTCAATATGATGTGATGGTCGTCTAAAAGGTGGTGTAAAATTTGCCCGACCCATCCGGAGCTCAGGTAATTTTGACCCTCAATCAGAGACCTGTAATTGCTGTTTTTCTGGTCATCGGAGGCCAAGCGATCAATAAAATATTCTTGAATACCTAAAACAAAACACAAACACGTGTTGTTGTTTTTAGTCACGTAGCCTGTCCATAATGATTAAATGTCACGCTGCTAGCTTGCTAACGTCAGCACACGTAACGTATGCTAACGTTATATTACACAGTGTTTAATGATACAGTCTATTATCTCCCTATTACTCTAATCTTTCCTGCTTATNAGACGGTGCTCGAATCTTTCCTTTGCAAGAAGGACGTTTTTGCTGTTTTGCCGACCGGATACGACAAGAGTCTAATCTACCAGTTAGCTCCGCTGGTAGCTAAGCATATACGTCACCCCGTGTATTGTTCTGATTGGTCGTAGTGTTATCCAGTTGTGTGCAGTGATATTTACAAATGCATGCTTGGTGCCACCCCTCGAGTTGGGCCATTTTCATTACTCATGGCCAGACCCTAAATCTTTCTAGATTTGGGTCTGGATTTCCAGGCTAACAAACATATCTATTAACCCAATAATAAACTGATTAGATTTTGCTGGTTAAAGGTCACTTGGCCTTCTCATTTTTGTGAATGTGATATCTCAAGAACACCTTTAGGGAATTTCTTTAAATATAGCACAGCGGTCTACTTGGAGTCGATGATCAAGGGATTCAATTTTTTGTTGTCATAGGTTAAGGTCACTATGACCTTGTGTTTGTCTCACTCTTGTGAATGTAATGTCTCAAGAATGCCTTGAGGGAATTTCTTCACATTTGGCACAAACATTTACTTGGAATCAGTGATGCAGTAATCTCTCAAGACAGATTCTGCGTGGTCGAGACGTTCAGGTGTCCCCAGGAAATGTGTACCTACAGAAACAGCAAGCTCCGCGCCCATGGCGACCGCTCCACCCAAAACGCCATCTTGTCAGCGTGAATTTTTTTTTTTTTTCCCAGCGGATGTCAGATGACGTCCTGATGTTGGCTTTGCTGCTGCTGTTAGCTGTCCCTGTCAGCTGCAGCCACTGATGCTTTCTAGACATCGTGATTTCACAAAACTGAATAAATACCACACATAGCAACACAAAACTGCTTTGCTAGCTCAATCATGTTGTAACTAAGATATCCGCTGGAAAAAATATTTTATTCATGGACCGTTCATTGAGTTATTAATGTTACCTTATTTTTATACAGTCTATGGTTATTACAGACACCGCTAATGGCTAACGTTAACAGCTAACGGTTAGCCCAACTAATCTACAATAACCATATTAATTACGTGCACACAGAAATAGTAACGTTTGTTCAGTCATTGTGTTTATAGACTTGACAAACATCAGATTAGTCTACACGGTGATATAGTGTCGTGAAAAATGTGATATATAGCTAAACTCTGCTGGTTTTCTACCCAAAGTATTTGTAAACAACACGGCGATTCCCTGGGGGCACCGCTGGAAGTGAAGGGCGTGAGCGATCGCTGAGGCCCCTGCACTTCCGTTAGTCGAAAAACTCCGGGCTGTGAGGTAAAGGACGAAAAACAAAGGGTTTTTTGTTTTTGTTTTTTTTTTTAACCGATGGATTTCCAGATTGGTGATGCAGTGATAAGATTTTGGCGGTTAAAGGTCACTGTGACCTTGTCTGTTTCATTCTTGTGAACATTATATTTCAAGAAGTACTTGCAAGCGTTCACTTGGACTAAACAATGAACTGATTAATTTTTTGCTGTCAGAGGTCAAAGTCATTGTGACCTTGTGTCTGTCTTATGATTGTGAATGTGATATCTCAGGAAGGCCTTGAGGGAGTTTCCTTAAATTTGGCACAAACGTTCTCTTAGTTTGATAAGAATTTGGTGGTCAAAGGTCACTGTGAGCTTGTTGGGTCTCTTTGTGTGAACGTGATATCTCAAGAACACTTTCTCTTCAGAGCAGACAAACATCTACTTGGAATCTGTGATGAAGTGATTTGATTTTTTTGTTGTCAAAGGTCAAAGTCGCTGTGACCTTGTTTCTGTCTCATTCTTTTGAACGTAGGCCTTGATATAGTTTCCTCAAGTTTGGCACAAACGTGGACTGAAGAGTAAAGTGATTAGAAGTTTGTGGTCAAAGTTCAAAGTGACTGTGACCTCACAAAACATACCATAACTCAAAAATTCCCATGCTAATTATGACAAAACTTCAAGTGAAGTGATGACATTTTATGTCCCAAAGGTCAAAGGTCAGCTTGACTGTGACATCATCATGTTTTAACGTCATATCTCAGGAACAGAAGGGGAGACATTTGGTCAGATACTGAATTGGTGACTCTAATCTTGAAACTGTGCTGATTGTATAGACGAATTCGGCAAGCGATTTGTGTATGCCGCCATCTTGCGGTGGCGCCATTGCTGCGGTGACGTGTGTCAGTCATCAATTCATTATGCTGTCATTGTGAACTGACTCTCTACAATGACAGCATCATGAATAGCTGAATTGATGATGTTAGACGGTGGCCTCCAGTAACTGATGAAGGTATCTTAAATGAGTACCGATATTAATATAGAAATTAATCATTTGTTTGAGCCATAAGCAGGAAAGATTAGAGTAATAAGGAGATAATAGACTGTATCATTAAACACTGCGTAATATAACGTTAGCATACGTTACGTGTGCTGACGTTAGCAAGCTAGCAGCGTGACATTTAATCATTATGGACAGGCTACGTGACCACATCATATTGAAGGCGATTGCCTTCAATATGATGTGATGGTCGTCTAAAAGGTGGTGTAAAATTTGCCCGACCCATCCGGAGCTCAGGTAATTTTGACCCTCAATCAGAGACCTGTAATTGCTGTTTTTCTGGTCATCGGAGGCCAAGCGATCAATAAAATATTCTTGAATACCTAAAACAAAACACAAACACGTGTTGTTGTTTTTAGTCACGTAGCCTGTCCATAATGATTAAATGTCACGCTGCTAGCTTGCTAACGTCAGCACACGTAACGTATGCTAACGTTATATTACACCGTGTTTAATGATACAGTCTGTTATCTCCCTATTGCTCTAATCTTTCCTGCTTATCGCTCAAACAAATGATTAATTTCTAAATTACAGTTACCGGAGGCCACTGTCTAACATCATCAATCCAGCTATTCATGATGCTGTCATTGTAGAGAATCAGTTCACAATGACAGCATAATGAGTTGATGACTGACACATGTCACCGCAGCAATGGCGCCACCGCAAGATGACGGCATACACAAATCGCTCGCCAAATTCGTCTATAGATCTTCTGTGTGTGAAGCATCCATGTTTTCACTGACATGGATGGAGACTGTCAGAGACACTGGACTGGTGGGCGGAGTCATACAACCACAGGGTGGACTGGTGGGCGGAGTCATACAACCACAGGGTGGACTGCTGGGCGGAGTCATACAACCACAGGGTGGACTGGTGGGCGGAGTCATACAACCACAGGGTGGACTGGTGGGCGGAGTCATACAACCCAGTACTCCGACTACAGTACCAGATACATTTGTGTCTCACATACAGTACTTTATAGTCCTCCACTTCTCTGCAGCTGCAGTGAGCGTTACCTGAGCTGCCTCACAACGTGCCCTGGCACTGTAGCCTTGAGGTATACAGGAGGTTAGAAGAAACACAAATTTGGTTTGTTTACACCAGGGGTCTCATTTATTAAAGTTTCTGATGCACAAGTTTGTGCTCAAAGTTGTGCTTTGTAAAGTTGTCAGAATCAGCCTCTCAGTGATTTCCTGTCTGAAATATCAAAAGCAAAACTTTAGATAAGATCCTCTTTATTAATACCCAGGTATGAATGTTATAGACATCATATATGTGGTATACACTGTGCAGTATATACACTATACTATAACATCTCTACACGTCACGCCCTGTGTGCCATGAAAAATGGATTTTTGACTGGATGCCAGGAGCGCTGCCAGAGGGAGGAAAAGGGCAAGTATTCCTGTGAAATTCAGAGGTGATGCTGAACTTTGATGAATCTGGACGGGGGTCAGGAGTCACATCTTGTCAGGAGACCAAAACTTCAAAACGTCTGTCCCCTCCGCACAAGAAGACAAGGCAGAATTCACCTCCACTTACAGTGTCGTCTCTATTTGCAGGAAGTGACACATGTCACATCTGGGATCCTGCCAGTGCAGACGGACGGGGAGCAGGTTGGTCAGTCACCTCACGGCGCCAGAGGACACGACGCAAAGCCCGCTGACTGATAAATCACAGGACAAATCAAAACGGGGCGACAGGGCTCGGCTGGTGTCACATCATGATAAGAGACAGGAGCTCTGTGAAAGGTATCACTCACACTCTGCTCGCCACAAAAACACACAACTGCAGTTTTTTCCCAAAACATGTTAAATTTCACCCAAAGCACAAAAACATCACTCACATCACGCCATGCAGAGCGTTTGGATTTTATGTGCCCAGGCTTTAAGATACGCACCTCTGTAAATGTATTCTGCCACCCTGTCAACAGCAGGGACTATTTTGTTTGGTGCCAATTTATTCCTGATGAGCGACGACAGTGTTCAGCACAAAGAATTAACAGCTGCCAGATCGTTAAAGATAATCATTTGTAGTTGAATTTTCTTCGACTGTAAACGATCAGAATGCTCTTAAAAGTCACTGTATGTATTTTATATCCTGGCTACGTTTGCGGTCAACAAGCTTTTTAAAACATATACACATCAGTTTACAAAATGTGTTTAAAGCTGCGCTAATAAGTATCTTTTAATTAACCACGGGTCAAATCAGGGACGTTATGATTGAGCTTTTCAGCGTTTGTCAAACTGTTGCTTTTAGGGATGCACCGATTATGAAATTTTAGGTTGAATCTGATGTTTAACAATTGACCGGTAGTCGATACCGATGTTTTTGTTGTAGGTCACTTTGCTTCATGTGGTTTTTATTCCCTCTTTTGTTACAGGTAAACAAACAAATCTTGATTATTAAAAAAATAACTCAGGTTTTTTAAAGTTATTCGTTTCACTACCTTTGAATGAGCAAAAAATTCATACAAATTTATTTATGAAACAACCTTTAATATAACCTTCTTCTGCATGAAAAGCATCTCCAAAAGCATCTCAGTCTTTTTATTGCATAGTATATCCTAATTCCCTCTCTGATGTCTATTTTATATTGCTGTGAAAATATCAACAGATTTCTCCATCAAACAGCTGCCTTAAAACATTTCTTATGACATTACATTTGAACACATCATGAGAGTGTCACATTTTAGCGTTACCAGAGCTTGAATGCATCAAAATGTAACTCAACCAGGCGCCCAGGAACGCCGCTCAGCCTCGCAGACAGTTTTTGTATCACAGCAAAAACCCAACACAGCATTTAGACCTCCATTATAAAGAGACGTCTGTAAAACTGTTGACATGTCCAACTGCAAACAAGCTCAATTCTGACTCTTTCTATTTTGAATTTTTGACCTATGGAGGTTGTTTATTTGTAAAAGTTTTCTTAATGCTGAGAAAAAAGTGTTTTCAAACTTTACGCTGTGATGTCATCACAGCGTAAAGTTTGTGAGCTGAGCACATATTCACCTCCTGCACACCACGGCAGTAAACCCAGAAGCTCTGAACTTTTTGGTGTATGTGCCAGGCAAGTAACTCGATTAGAATGAACTTGTGTCATTTTACCATCAGGTATCTCAGTACTTACTAAGACCTCTGAATCAATGCAGCCTCCGTTAGCTGTTAGCTCCAGCTGATTTGTTGTTAACAGTGTAGCATCATCAGGGAAACAATAGGATGCGTTTCCTGACGAGGCGACAGTGAGTTTCCTGCGCCCTTTCATTTGGACAGGGCCACTGTTATTCCCATACACATGTTATGTTGTCTTCAGGACGATGGGACGCAGTTAGGGTTCATTTATGCTCAACGGTAGATACAGAGACAGATGGAGCCTTCTGTTTTTAATTTGCGTTCATTTCAACCTTATTTGTGCACGTTTTCTGAAAGCCTATGAGTACGAATGAAACAGAGATGACATATACTTTTTAAATAATGGCGGAACATGACAACGTGGTAATATGTTGTGTGAAGTGTTTGACTCCGCCCTCTGGTGCCATCCATTGGTTGTATCTGTACCAATGTAAAGGACCACAGTAGTATAAGAAGAGTGATGGTTTTTAAAATGGACCTATCTATTTTTGCACATAAAGGGTGAATAAATGAGCTGTTCGTCTGGAGCCCGGCTGTTTAGACTCGTGTGACACAACAGAAAAACATCGGCCACTGCCGTTGGTGATGTCATCTCATTTGCTGACAGGCCAGTGTTAGTCAACAAGGAGAATATCAGCCGATAAATCAGTGCATCCCGAACTGCTTTTGTTAAACAGCAGTAAATTCAATCTTAACACACTCAGTCATGTCTTTCTTTTCCAGCTGTAGTGTTCAGCTGTTTCCTGTCTGATAAAATTACCTGACCAATACCAAAATGCCGACACAGTCAGAGACACGTTGGTGGAGCATTTAGCTGCTAAAGAAATATTTTCCGCAGAGAGGTGTTTAATTTTTGCTCTTGTTAGGTTGCCAGATGAATGCAAATATTGCACCATGACAGCTGGATGTGTAAACTGTTAACTAATTCATTGGTTACAACATTTTTATATGCTGATGATGCATCAGTGTTTTTTTAAGTGTCCAAAAAAAAACCTACCTTCAGTGTAAACTGCTGTACATACGAAACAGACACCTCGAAGCTTTGGTATCAACAGTGACATCACTGGAACGACTTCCCAAAGAAAAAGTTTAATGATCTTTATTGTATTTGAATGGCAGCAGCAATCTGAGAGAACCATATCTTTAACCTGGGCAAATAAAGACAGAAAGATCTGCATGTGTCATCACTACAGAAGCTAAATGCATTCACTCAAGGAAAACAGTCCTGATTTCAAAATTAACAAGATCATTATCTCAGATTTCTGAGAAAAACTTAAATGGAAAAAAAAAAAAAAAAAAAAAATCTGCTGTTGTTTTTTCTTAATTACCCAAATTAGTATCTCAAAATTATTAGAGAAATTTGATGGAAAAAAAATCTTCTGTTTTTCTTGAATTAACAAGATTATTGTCTCGAAAATATAAGAAAAAAAAATGCACTGTTTTTCTAAATTAATGTTCAGCAATCAGGAAAATATTTTTCATGAAAAAATTCTGTTCTTTTTCTTCTGAACTAATAGACGGGTAAATAGTCACATAAATTGTTGGATATTATCACTGTGGATTTATTATACTGGCTAATGTTAGCATCTGGGTTAAAAACAGGAAGTTTCTCTCTCTCTGTGCAGCGTCACAGAGACATTTAACATTAGTAACGTCATGAGAAAAAATGCCTTGGTGAACACACAGCGTTACCAGAGAGAGGTCACTCAGTGCTCTGTGGTGATTTAGTTAACTAGAAGTAACGTGCAGAATTTTTTCCCCCATCGTCCAATCCACTGGTTATAGAGTAGGTAGCATTTCAGTCAAAGATTTTCTTTGGCTGACTGCAGCCCAAGTAAATGCTTGTTTTTCTGAATTGAAGTGATTGTTTTTTGAACTGACGAGATAATAAACTGTTCCCAGAATTCTGAGGTAATAATCTTGTTAGAATTAAAAGTTTTGATGGAGAACACACGTTTGCCCTATTTTTCTGAACTGAGATAATAATGTCTTTATTTCAAGTCTCAAGTGAATGCATCACACTTCTTTATGTCACCACTGAGGGCAGAGGGGAGAGGATATCTGTGATTTGCGTGAACTGCCCCTTTAAGAGAGCTGTTGATGTGTTTTCAGATCCGTACAACCCTGTTAAAACCCATTGGGGTCTCATTTCAAAACGATATGGACGTCAGTGAGGAAGAAATAACAGTTTTTTCTCCGTCCTGTAAAACTTGGCAGACAGAATCCAACAGGTTTGTGCTGTTATGACAATATGAGCTTATACTGTGTGAGCGTTTTTAGGTCCAACTCGAACGAGAACATGTCACTTTCATCAGGTCTGCTGTCGCTCACGTGTTCGGTCTCGGTGTTAAAGTCAGCGTGTGCTGTGTCGTTGAATAATGCAGTGACACAAACGGGTGCTTCCTCAGAGAACTGGATTCAGTGGCAGTATTGAAGATGACACATTCCTTGTTAAGAGCGTTTTGCGCCTAACCAACCTCCGTCTGTCCGTCCCGACACTTCTCATAAACACGTCTGCTTCACGAAGCAGAGCACATTGTAAATCCTCTGGCGTCTCACATTGAGCAAAGGGTCCCAGTGAGTAGTGGGCCAACATGGGTCACCTTCATCTCAAAAGTCTCTCCAAAGACAGATGCATCCGTTCACGCATCAAACCCCACACCGTCTGTTTTCCCAGCAACCCCTCCCACAGCGGCAAAGCATGATTGGTCACAAACTCGTCAGTTTCTCTGCGGTAAATTCCACATATAGTTAAAAAATATAAACTTGTTTCCATCTCTTGTTGCGTCACCAAAACCACAAATATTTTTTTTTTTTTTTTTTTTTTTTTACATTTCTGAAGAGGAACAAACCCAAATGTTTGTCTCACCCTCACACTTAAAGCTGAATGAATGAGCACATGAAGAGTCCCCTTCCAAAGTGAGGTATCCACTGTCTGCAAAAATGACATCTACTCATACAAAATGATTCAAAGCTTTAAAATCAAAGCAAAGTCCAGTACGTTAAAGGCTAATAAATCATGTAGGTCCTTGTTTGATGAAATAAAAAACTTCTGCAGACTTTGGGAAATCTTCTTAATCTTAATTCAGTGTTAAATTTCAATTCACAACTTATATTTTCTACATGTTCTTTATTTGGAAATGAACTCTTCATCTTGCAACTGAAAACACAACAACAAACAGTCAAAGAATTTCATTGTGATTTGACTCGATTATAACTATATATATACACATGTGCTTCCATCTAACATTCTGGGTAACAAAATTATGTTAATTAATTAAGATTTAAAATAAAAGAAATGTGGCATTAAAGTAAAGAGCAGAGCAGAATGAGCCGAGTGCTGCATGTGGACAAACACACATCCACCTTAAATCTTGTGAAACACTTCATCACAGTTCTTCTGAGACAAAAGTCTTAACATTAATATTTTTCTTTTACATCGAGGAATGTTCAGGAACAAAAAAAAAAAAAAAATAGTGTTTTTTTTTTGTTTTGTTTTTTAATTTTTATATTTTTTAGATTTTTCCTGCACTGCATCGTCAGTGTCTCTTCACTGTACACCTTCTGAACCCCACTGAAGCTCCAATGATATTTTCTTATGAACAAAGTTTGCATGTGTGTGTCATGTGTAACAGTTTGTATTTGGACAGGCGTGAAGCAAGAAATGAGGTGTGTACTTCCTGGTCCCCTCCCTCCTCCGTGGTGCGGCGGCGGCACCCTCTCCAACAATCTTCTCACGGGCGTGGGCGGCACAAAACATCTGCTCTGAGTCATGATTCACAAAAAGAGATTAAGTGTGATTTTTGTGACAGAGAGGGAGAGGGGGGTGGGGCAGGACGGAGTCGACCCTTTCCCCCACCGTCGTTTGACACATAGAAATGGCTCTTTCTTTCATACCAACCCTCCCCTATTTGTCCGTGGAGGCCAGCTGAGCGAGGCCTCTTATTGGTCAGAGAGCAGCAGCAGGACGAGCCAGCCGAGGCCCAGCAGCAGGGACAGGCGCACAGGCTCAGCTCCACGGTCCGACAGGCCCGGAGAGGGAAGGGTAGAGTCTCCCTCGTCGCCCCACAATCTGTCGTTCTCATTTACCTGAAAGGAAATGGACGCATGTTGTGATTAGTCACCAAGTTTTTTGGTACAATAATAAAACAGTATTATTGTACAGTATTTTCTCTGCCTCCAGATCCCACACCAGGAAACATCTTCAGCAGGAAAAAAACCTCTGAGGAGAGGAGACGTTTTATGTGAGTATAATGACAGAATTTCCCACAACCATGGCTGAAAAGTAAAACGAGCAATGGCGAGGACATTGCCACTTATCAGCCGGTGCAATTTCACAGCGAGAGGTGATTTTCTCTGCAAACATATTCAGAATAAACTCTTCAATCAGACCAGCTCCATCTTCAGATTCTTTTTCTCCTCTCCTTCTGTTCACTGAAACCTTTTTAACCCATCAAACCTCCACTGCACTGTGTTCACTTCCTGAGCCAATCCGCTGAGTCTATCCTAGCGGACACTGAGCACAAGGCAGGGTGCACCCTGGACCAGTCAGGTAAAATGAAGTTTCACAAACAGTGTCATAAATATGTCATAAAATGAGTCATACTATACAAAAATCACGAAAAAAAAAGTAATACTAATGTGCTGTAAAAAATCACTGAAAAAAGTCATAGTATATTATGTCGTCCAAAATGTCATTAAACAAGTCATAGTATAGTATGTCGTCCAAAATGTCATTAAACAAGTCATAGTATAGTAGTGTTGTACGGTATACTGGTACTAAAATAGTACCGCGGTACTAGAGTACTGCATTTGGAAAATACTGGTACTTTGAAATTGATTCAATTAATTAATTTAGTTAATTTATTTTACTCAATTATGCACACAAACAACTTTCTTGTTCCTATTGGAGCACAGATTGCACAAGTGGTGTGTATAACAACACCTGTATCAACAATCGCAGCTGGCACGTGAAAAAAGACAAGAGAAAGTCTGCCTCGCAAAGGGAGACAACACGAGACAACACAAACTTGGTGGGACATTTGAGTTACCAAACCGTGACGTCCGTACTGAGGTACTGACCGAACCATGATTTTTTTGGTACCATTACACCCCTACTATTTATTGTTCTAAAGGTTTGTATCCAAAAGGACTTTTCCTTAGGAAAAGTACCGAAGAGTATCGAAAAATATCGAAATTCATATTGGTATTGGTACCGAAACAAAGATTTTGGCATCGTGACAACACTATAGTATAGTATGTCTTCAAAAATCCTGAAAAAGTTTCATAGTATAGTATGTCATACAAAATGTCATAAAGTGAGTCAAAGTATAGCATGTCGTCCAAAATTGTGAAAAAACGTCATAGTATAGCATGTCGTCCAAAATCATGAAAAAAAAGTCATAGTATAGCATGTAAGGATAGACCGATACATCGGCTGGCCGATATATCGGGCCGATATTTGAGTTTTTTACTTGTATCGGCATTGGCCGATACACACGTGGGTTCGCGGATTTATTTTTCCCTGGCACTTTTTTTCATTTGAAAGTATGTGGTTAAGTTGAACAAAGCTGTTGAATCCTACTGTGTACAGTAGTTGTTGTTTTATTTATGCTTCAGCTTAAATATTTGTTTATTTTATAAAGACATTACTGGAAGATTTAAGAGCACTGAACTCTTTTTTATTTGAATGTATAATAATAATAATAATAATAATAATAATAATGATGATATTCTACCTGTTCTACCTCAACTTTCCATCTTGTTTTAGTATTTTTTACTGTTCAATAAATGTTTCTTATTTTAAACTTGAGACCTGTAAT